AATTTTAGGAGGTACTGTGGAGTAAATAAATAGAAATATTCTGAAGATAAAATTAAAAATTTTTTATAAGTTGATAATTTTTTATTGTCAATATCAATATTATAAACTTTATCATTAAATATTGGAACACTTAACCAAAAAGCATTATTGCAATTGAAAATTGACATAAATTATATTATCAACTTTGTAACTCCCAAAAACATTGGATTAATAATACGGATAATTGAGACAGTAATAGTTACTATCAGAAAGTATAAAAGTCACCACCCAAGCATCCTCACTGACCATTACATATTACAAATACTTATCAATCATTGTTACACCTAAACTCTTTTAAATCTTATAAATAACTTTATCTTTAAATATAAAATAATATTTTGGTAAAAATCTATTATTTATGTTTGAATAAGTTTAATAAAATATAATAGTTGTTTATAACTGACAATTATTTATTGAGACAGTGGATTGTAAAATAAAAGATATTTCGAGTGTTTAAGAAGATGTAATTATTAAGAGTTTAAAACTTTTAAAAGAAGACATATTTTATAATTAAATTAATAAGGGTAGATTGGTAGTATTCATTTTTATCCAATAATTAACCTGCTGTTGTAATTGTTTATTTATTTAGTTTAGTAAGTGTGATGTTACAATCTAGTGTCTCAACAAAGTCTGTAGTATATAATTAAATCATCAGTATTTAATAGATGTTGAATAATTACAAGTGTGCTTTATTTTTTAAATACAATTTTTTAGTTGGAGAGTTTTTAGAATCTTAAATAATTGGGGGTAGCGTCCTGGATAGTAGCCTTTACCATTATTGATAGTAACCACTACCATAAAAATTGTAAATATTACTATTCTTTATTCTCAAAGCTTCTATTAAATAATTCCTAACTAAAATTATGAAACTAATTTATTTCTTGACAAATTTTAGATTATCTAAAGTTAGAATTTAGTATTTCAGTTAGAATTAAATTCTCTCCGAGTAGTTAATATTAAATTATATTACCGATAGAGCAAATGAAAGAAAATAAATGAGAAGATATTTTGTTAATAGACGAGTAAAATTAATTCTGAAATTCTTCACAATTACGTCAGATATTGTGAGAATATTTATGAAAATAATTGTCGTGTTTTTGACGAGAAATTGACGACAATAGCAGAGAAGTGAGTTTGAGAAATAATATAATTTTAAAATTAGTGATCCGAATGCTAAACTAGCGCATAATTAGCGCGGGGATGGACGAGGGATGTAAATGAGAAGAGTAGCGAGGGGTGAAAAATAGACGAGTGAGCGCTAGAGAGTAGCGGAGAAACAGTTGGAAATGACATTTCCATGATGATGACGCAATCAACAGCAGCCGCGTGCAATTCAATTTAAAGTAGGATTTCGCAGTGTGTGCTTAGTACTGTAAATTTCTTGGAATTGTGCAGACTATCGTGTTCCAGACCGAGTACCGATTCCCGAGCTGGGTTTTCATGTCAGTGTACACCAATATTGGACAGCTGCGCTTACTCTGCGGACGATCGAGAACATCACCAGCTCACACAGTCGGCAGTTGGTTACTGCTCTTGTTATTTCATTTTATTTTATTTTTCTCATCCTCGATTTGTGGAAGCACCTGTCTCTGGTTTACTTAGTTGGAGTCTCATCTGCGAAAACCTATAGTTTATAAACTGGTATACGTTCTCCAACCTCTGGTGTAGTCTCTATAACCAGTACAAGCACCAGATTCCTCACCCTCATCCTCATCCGTCTAATATATATATATTCTTATTAGCATCCTCGTCAGACGTCGCTTAACTTACGCAACTGGTATGACTCTGATCTGCTCTAGCAACTCGGTGAGCGATATTTAGCTTCGAGTTAGGGTGACTTCACAACTAACATCACCGCAGTGATAGAAGAATTTATTAACTATTAATTTAGAAATTATTTATTCATTAATCAAATTCAAATTAATATTTTTTTACAATTATTAATTAAATAGAAAATATTTATAAATTTTTTTGAAGTTAATGTCTTATTTACATACGGCGCGATGTCAAGATCATTTTTAAAAAATTAATGTCGTAATTTTTTATAATGAAGATAAGATGCGCTAGTAATATTCGCTGCAAAAAAAAATTTTATAATTTATTAAGACCAGAGTTTTATTATTTATTTCATCGTCTTAATATTTGAAAAAAAATTGGCACTGTAGTTTATTTAATGAAATTTTAAATTGAAGTTATAAGGGTAAAAAAAATGTTAAAGTAAAATTCTTATTCTTACATATTGTTCAATGGTCTAAAAAAATATTTATTAACAAGGAAAATATGTCTATTAACTATAAATAAATATTTATTAAATTGTCAAATTTATAAAAAAATCATTTATAAAAAGTTAATAAAAATTTATTGATTGAAAATTAGCAACCTTGCAGCCACTATGTGACTGCCGTGACTTGTAAACTATAAAAAAAATAAAATTCTGCTTCATTAAAATAATGAATATTGTTAAATTGCACTGTACTTTCTTAAATATTGACGTTTTTAAAAATATAAGCTCATTCTGGTATTACACTTATCAAGAACTTTCATTTGAGTACCCACATCAATTTTTCATATATTTCATATATTTATATATATATGTATATATCAAAAATATATGAAAAATGCATGTGGGTACTCAAATGAAAGGTCTTGATGAGTGTAACATCGGGATGAGCTTATATCTTTAAAAATGTCAATAGTTTACAAGATACAAGGTAATTTCTTAATTATGCATCTAGAGATAGAGCATTTTCGAACGCAGCCTAAATACTTATCATAATAAATTGACTCTAAACTAAAATCATCGAATATTAAAAAATAATTAAGCAATCTTTATAAAATATCACTAAATCGTTTTATCAGTGTCCACTTGTGCTTAAAGTTGGTCCTCTGCATTTTATTCTATATACATAATACAAAATATATAAAATGTATACATAGAGTATTATTCATTGAAGGGAACAGGGAATCAGGATGATACGAGTTTCACAAACTCTATTCAACATTTCCGAAATAAAAATTGTTGTTGGCTTCCAGTTTAGCTGCAGTGGGTCTTTGTATTCATACTTCCTACTCATCCCTCATCCTCATATCACAAACCCTGGAAAAAGTCCCTCACAAAAACCCCAAATAAAACTATATATGAGACAAAAAATAGTTGGTACATATGCCCGAGCCGAGGTACATGAATAACAAAAATATATATATATAAAATAGTGTACTGTGTGCTATTCGGAAATAGAACCAAAGGACAAATTTAAAATTGACTCCATGTTTAAAACAAGATTCCCGCAAAACAGTTTAGTTTGTCTCTCAAAACTCGGGAATATGTATACAAAGTAGTCTAGACATGTGTGAGTACACATGTGTGAATCCGTGAGTATGTAAGTAAACGCTATATATATATATATATATATATATATATATAGCGTTTTCTTCTAAAAATATCTAGGCTCTTTCTCGTCAGCATGTCCCTCGCTTACGTTGATTTACATTTGCGATCGTCATTATATATCTATCTATGAATATCATCTCGAGTGCCTTAAATATGTGTTTATAAATATATTAAAAAGTGTATTAGATTTTTATTATTATTGTTAATGGCTAGAGAGGAGAAAGTCGAGCCCTTTGGAATTAATAGGCAATACTTTGGTTATTTTAAACATTTTTCTATATATATTTAGAGCAATATTAAGAGTTACATGTGGTGGATAATTAAAAATAAGCTTGGTATGTCGGTACGGGTTTTAGGACATGTTCTATCGTCTATATATATTTTAATTACACGGAAAAATTAAAAAGTTGTTTTAAAAATAATAAAAAAAAATTTTTTTTTATTCAAGGCACTCTAGTTGAGAGATATTTATAATTAAAATAATAATTATTGATGAATTGTGATGTTAATTATTCGATGGTATTTTATACTTTTTCTTAAATAAATTTATAAAAAATATGACTAAATAAAAAAAAATTTTTCTAACCAAATTTACAATAATTTTAAATAAATAATTCAAATCTTTGTGACTGTCATGATTCGTGAAGTATTTATAGATAAAATTTTGCTTTATTAAATAATGACTTTTGTTAAATTGCAGTGTACTTTCTTAACTATAGACGATTTTAAAGATATAAGCTCATCGTGATATCACATTCATCAAGAGCTTCATTTGAGTACCCACATGTATTTTTGATATATTTTTCATATATACATATATATAATATATAATAAATATATGAAAAACTGATGGGGGTACTCAAGTGAAAGGTCTCGATGAGTGTAATGCCGAGGTGAGCTTATATCGTAAAAAATGTCAATAGTTCACAAAATAAAAGGTCATTTCCTAATTATGTACCCTGGAGATAAAATTTTTCTTTTTCTCTTAATATCCTTTTATCAGTGTACTGATAAAATAAAATTAATATTTTTTAATACATTTTTCGTAATTTAATTATTTTATCATAATGAAAAATTTTTAATTGTAACTAAATAAGACTTTAATTCCAACAAAAAGCAAACTAAAATATCAATTATAAAAATTATTACAAATACAAACTACTAAATTTCGAAAATCTAATTTCCCAAAAATTACCCGAGCAGTTAACCCTAATATACATCAAACATATTAATAAACAGCAACTGTTAAATGTAAAGCGTAAATCCCCGGAGACTAAAACTCCGAGCGCTTGTCCTAGTTAATAGCCGTTGAAAATTACGTCCTCAGCATCTGAGGAAAACCGATACAAAGTTTGGATCAAGATGAAAACCCAATAGATACATGTATGTCCTATCGGTGTTTATGGGCTGACTAAGCGGTCACACGCATCATCTCTCTCGCTCTTTATTGTATCGAGATCGGTTCAGGTCAACTGTTTTTGTTTAAACCGTCTTTTTTATTTAACCTCCCCAACTATTAGCCCCCACACATAAAACACACAGACTCTTTCATCAACGGAGCTTGTCAGGGATGCTAAGCACGCAAAAAGCTTCTGCACCCTCGACTAGAGTACATTTTACTGCTCACTCTCTTAACTAACTTTTAGACATACACGTATGTATATACATATATTTTATTCTCACTTAGCAGTTCTTATTTTATTTTTTGCTCAACACACAATTAAACCTCATACTTAATTTATTTTTATTTCTTTGTCTTGACGGTATTTCGGTTATATGTTGCGCAATAACCATTTGCGTAAGGTCCGCTCGTATTCTTCCTGGTAAAAATATATTCTTACATATTCATTATTCTATTTATTATTCGTGCATTAACATATTAAAAATTTTATATAATAATTTTTTATTATTAAATTCTCAATTATTTCTTAATATTAATAATTAAGAATTAATTACCAACCTTGCAGTCACTATGTTACTATAAATAGATAAAATTTTGCCTTATTAAATAATGACTTGTTAAATTGCACTGTACTTTTTTAAATATTGACGTTTTTGAAGATATATAAGCTCATCCCGATGTTACACTCATCAAGAGCTTTCAGTTGAGTGCCCACATGCATTTTTGATATATTTTTCAACTCAAATGAGAGGTCTCGATGGGTATAATGTCAGGATGAGCTTATCTCTCTAAGAATGTCAATAGTCCTCAAGATACGAGGTCATTTCTCAATTATTGACATTTTTTAAGATATAAGCTCATTCCGATGTTACACTCATTGAGACCTTTCATTTGAGTACCCACATGCATTTTGATATATTTTTCATATATTTATATATTTATATAATAATATAGATCTCTTATATTATTAAAAAGATAAATTCTGCTCTTTATTGTTTGAAAATTCGAAAAAATATATTTACTATGAAAATAAGGAAACTATTGGTTATAGCTACTATTTTACCATTAATTGATTATTGTTCTGTTGATTTAAAATTACAACGTGCCATAAATAATGCTATTAGATTTATCTACAATTTAAAACGAGATGAACATATCACGACTTATAGACAACAATTATGCTGGTTGTCAGTCAAATCTAGAAGATTGTACTTCTTGGCAACTTACTTCTACAAATTGTTAACCATCGGTAAGCCTATTTATTTAAGAGAAATGTTCGTCGATGATGATTCTAGGCGTTCAGAAAGAATTGCAATTAAAAATAATAATGTAAATTTCTTAATACCTAAATTCTCAACATCTTGCCTAGAACATTCTTTTGTTATATCAACAATACGGTTATGGCAAAAACTTCCACCAGATGTCTTAGATGCGAGTTCATTAGAAGTCTTTAAAAAGAAATTGTTCGATTACCTTTTGTCAAATGATTTATAGATACATTAATATTTCTAAGTTTATGTGCAATATTACAACATATTATTTTGTTTAGCTAGTTTTTACAAGATGTTAGTTAACTTTTATTTCAAATAAGAAATGGACTTATTTAAATCTTATTTAATTTAAATCTCATTAATTTAATCTTAAATTATTACCAAATATACCTTTTGAATTTATAATATTGTTAAGCTAAATTGATTTATATATTACTTTATAGTTTTGTTTGTTATTTACCTACATATTTTGTAAATTTTTCAGTTCCACAAAAATTACTGTATTTTATATCTTGCCATTTGGCCTGTGCCTTGGCATTTATTATCAATAAATAAATAAATAAATATATAAATATATAAAATATATGAAAAATTGATGTGGGTACTCAAATAGAAGGTCTTGATGAGTGTAACATCGGGATGAGCTTATATCTTTAAAAATGTCAATAGTTCACAAAATACAGGGTCATTTCTTAATTATGTATCTAGAAATAGAGCATTTCCGAATGCAGCCTATATACTTATCATAATAAATTGACTATCGGTGAGATTGATATGAAACCTTGAAAAGGCACAAATTCAAGTCAAGACCTTTGCAATGACATCAAATTTTACATTTCAGATTATTATTAAATTCTTTAATAAGCTTATAAAGTATTTTACAAAAATTACTTAATGTAATTTCATTAAATTTAAATCTACTGACTTAAAAATTAAGTTGATATGATTTATTAAAAAAAATTTTTTTTTAATTAAAAAAAGTTAATTTTATAAATTTGTTTATTTTAAATCAAGCAAAAAAGTTTTTTTAAATAATTTTTTTTTGATACAAAATTTATGTATTAAATTAAGTTGATTTTTTGTTAATGTACAAAAAAATCATTTAACCCTTATAAAAATTTCTTCAAAATTTCACTTAAAACACTTTTTTAAAGTCTAAATTCAAAACTTTTATTTTCCAGAAGTACTTAACGGAATTTGCAACGCTAACAAAGAAGAGGAGAGACGACGAAAAGGTATTAATCAAAAATAAGTAACCCCGCGATCAAAATGCGACACTAGCCAGATAAAACTGATTAAATCTAAGCCAAAATTTTGGAACAATATACAGAGGAGGATTTGGATATCTAAAAGATTGTAAGATAAAAAAATGAAAAATAAACATAAGAATTGTGGATTTGTTCTCAGGTGGAGGTTACCATGAACTGTATAACGGTGTCGTCTGCAACGACACTATCCTCGCGACCGGTGTCTTCAGCTCGAAGGAGCTTTGGATGCTTTCAAAAGGTACGACGGTGTCCAAACAAATTAGATACTTTTTACATAATTAGCCAATAAAGTCACTTGTGATGAAAAATTTACGGATAAATTTCTTCTTGTTTAAACTCTAATCTTTTTAAACTCTTAATGGATGCTTTCGAAAGGTAATTTATTTTAGATAGGTCTCAATACCTTTTGAAAGTATCCACGACCTTTTACAATTATTATTTATCTTTGAAAAATAATTCATTAATTATTACCGTACAAAACAGAAAATTTTTATTAATTAAATTTAAGGAATTTATTTTTTAAAAATTTGTGGAATGAAAATAAATTTTTTGAGTTAGCTAAAAAAATCTTCAGGGGTTATACGAACTTTAGTTATTTTTTTTTTATAATTAATAAAATTTTTTCAAGTCTTCAGAAATTTTTATATTAAAAATTTTTTATAGTTGTAAAAAAAATTACAAAAAAATTTATTTAAAAAGTTTTTTTTTTTAATTTTGTTAATGTAAAAATTTTCATATTAATAAATAAAAAAGTTTCTTCAGAAAAAATAATTAAAAAGTCCCTTTTTTTGGTTTTTTAAGCGCGTATAACCCCTTAAGTAGAGTAATTAAATAGGGCAAAAATGTATTGTTGATTGTATGAGTAAGAATTAATGTTAAATTATTTTAAACGTCTGAATGCAAGTAAGAAAGCTTCTATTTGACTCGAGGCTCGGTAACAACGCGTACGCGTACGTGAACGTGTACTAGCTATATATTATTATTACAAATGTATACATATATATATATGTATGTATGTATGTATGTACTGCAGATTAGTATGCAACCCGTTTATATTTATAGAAACTAACAATGCTCGAAGTAACTTTGTTCATGTTAGCTTCCAAATCTAAAAGACTCGTGATATTAAATGTGCGATGTTATTACGCTGTTTGTTATATTTTTTGTTACCGAGTTGGTTGTATTTTATTTTTACATTTTTTTGATATTTATATTTTAGCGAAGTAATTTCGAAAAAATTTATATTACTTTTATTTTATAAAAGTTTATTAATAAAAATAGCGTAAAAGGAATGAATATTCATGAATGTATGAAGGTATGAATATGTATAGGGTGGTAAATGTGGATGTAATGTGTGACGTGTGATGTGTAATGTTTAATGTAAGAGGGGAGTGTGTGGATAATATGATTTGTTGAGAATAAAGTTAAGCTTCAGGTGGAACGAAAAATAATGCAGCGTAATGCGTGTACGTCTGGTTTCAGCGTCCATACTGCATGACCTCAGCGACATGCAGCCTCAAATAAACGCGATCAAAATAGAGCACCCGCCGTACTACTGCAGCAGCTATACCCCTCCTTCCGCGGCATCCGCCGCGGATCACGCTCAGCCCGCGGCTAGCTTCAGTAAGCTTATGTTTTTTATTTATATTTTTTTTTATTGTTGTTAGAATTCTATTTTATTCATTTAAAATTAATAATTATTATTGTTTCTGTAATAAATAATTAAAATACACTAACAACAAAATTAAAATTTTAAATATATTAACAAATAAAAAGTTTGCTTTATTGAATAATGACATGTTAAATTATACTGTACTTTCTTAAATATTGACGTTTTTAAAGATATAAGCTCATCTCGATGTTACACTCATCAAGAGCTTTCATTTGAGTACCCACATGCATTTTCATATATTTTTCATATATACATATATATAAAATATATAAATATATGTACAATTGATGTAGGTACTCAAATGAAAGGTCTCGATGAGTGTAATGTCAGGGTGACCTTATATCATTAAAAATGTCAATATTCCACAAGATAAAAGGTCATTTCTTAATTATTGACATTTTTTAAGATATAAACTCATTTTGATGTTACACTCATCAAGAGCTTTCATTTGAGTACCCACATGCATTTTCATATATTTTTTATATATACATATATATATAATATATATAAATATATGAAAAATTGATGTGGGTACTCAAATGAAAGATCTCGACAAGTGTAATGTCGGAGTGAGCTTGTATCTTTAAAAATGTCAATAGTACACAAGATACAAGGTCATTTCTTAATTATTGACATTTTTTAAAATATAAGGTCATTTTGATGTTACACTCATCAAGAGCTTTCATTTGACTACTCACATGCATTTTTATATATTTTTCACATATACATATATATAAATATATAAAATATATGAAAAAAAATTGATGTGGGTACTCAAATGAAAGGTCTTGATGAGTGTAACATCAGGATGAGCTTATATCTTTAAAAATGTCAATATTTCACAAGATACAGGGTAATTTCTTAATTATGTATCTGGAGATAAAGCATTTAATAATGCAGCCTAAATAATTATCATAATAAATTATAATAATAATAATAATAAAGTTTAATTAAATATGATTAAAAATTTTTCATTAAAAAAAAATATAATTAAAACAATTAAAGGTCCACCACCAGTACACCAGCTCATAAGGAACGACAAGACTGACAAAGCACCAACGGTATCAGTATCAAGTGCCCCAAGTTTTTCACCGGTCCTCAGACCCGAAGACGGCCACCGTGGAATCGATTCACCTCACTCTCAAACAGGTATCTATAATTTTCATTAATCATAATTATAAATAAAATACTAATAAAACGAAATTTATACAATCACATCCAAAAGGTACATTGAACTGCGCAACGGCAACAAATCAGTGACAATGTATTTTCAATACAAAAATAATAATAATAATAATAATAATAATAATATCCAAACACTTTTTAGTATTGAAACTAAACATCAGATACTTTGTTTAATTATTATTATTATTTTTTTTTTTTATTAATAACAAAAAATAATACACACCCTTTATGTTTCTCTTCCAATTGATTTCGTCCACCATGAAGATGAAAAAAAATTATCCAGTGTGCGATAAACCCACTCTGAGCTAAGCATCGTTCACGGAAAAAATATAAGTGGAAAAATTAGAGTTTTTAGAGTATACTTCAAATAGTTAATAAAAAAAAATTTTGAAGTTGTCTACTTAAAATTGGTTTTTTCCAAATTTAGAAAACTTTTTTTTTAATAATAAATATACTGTGAATTATTACAGCTGAGCCTGTAATTTGAGAAACTCTCAAGCTCAATTATCGAAATGTAAATAATTAATACGAAAAATTACAGGGTGAATTATTAAATTTGAGAGCAAAATTAAAAGGTTTAAACCTTATACTATTATAAACTGTGATAGGTTTTTAATGAAACTAGTTGGTATATGTCTCAGAAATGTAATTTTTACAGTATTACACTAGAGAGACTTGCTATTTAAAACTGCAATAAATCCTATTTATAAATTAAATTTTTGCACTTATATTTTTTCCGTGTTGTCTCTAGTTAATTAATTAGTTGATTAATTAATTAATTAATTAATTAGTGGAATAGCGGGGCGGGTAAGGAGGCAGCAAACGGAGAAAATGAAATTGAATAAGTTAAAGTTTAAACAGCATCAGAGTTAAGTATAAGTTTTAAAAAGTTGTGCTTCGAAAAAGAAGGTATATATGCATCAAAGGATTAAAAGTGGATTTAAAGTATAAGACGGCGGTCTTAGGGGTTGATCGTTGGTTTAACTCCTACCGGAGGTCTCGCTACTTAGGTATTATATTATTGCATTATGCCGTTCTGACTGCATGTGGTAATTCTTGAGCTAAACACGAGACAGTTACAGTTAGCCAGAAAGTTTATAAAGTTTATCGTGAAAAATAAAAAGCAACGATGAATAAAATCTGGGAATCACTAATCGCGGATTACGCGTGATCTCTGTTTCAGTCTGAGCCCGAGCATTTCAAAGAGAGCTCGCTTACTCGACTAAAAGGTACATTGTCACAAATTTCGTTGTTCTACATATACGTATTATGTAAATATATACCTTTTGCGACATGTACACGTATTTATCGTAGACGAATGTTAGCACGGCTGTATTATATATTATATTATTAAATATCTGATAATATATTTTATATGTTATCAACTTCTCTATGTTATTACTGTTTTTTTTATTCTTATTTTTATTTTAATTTTGTATTTTATATATTTTATGGAAAGGTACCAAGATGTAAGTAATTTATTTTAATTCATTAAATTTAAAAAATGAAGATTAAAATTTTTTTTTAATTATTTAAAATTATGAAAATAAAGTTAGCCGACATTTCAAAATTTTTAGAAATTTTTCATTGAAAAAATTTTAATTAAAAAATTAAAAAAAATATTTTATATGTAAAAAACTTAAAAAACTATCAGTGCAATTTTTTAGAAATATCTTTTTAGTTGTAATTTAATTAATAAAAAAAAATCAAAAATTTTTAGACGTCTGCTAACTTCAGTATCATTTAAAATTTTTTTCAGAATATTTAAAAAAAAATTTTATTTTTCTTCAGAAAAAATTGACTTTAAATTGAATAAATGACAAAAGAATAAAAAGAAACTGAACCATAAATCTTGATTACAAAAGAAGTCTCTGTAATTTAATCATAATATGACAACGCAACTTAATCAATTTCTCAACATTAAATTATCACTTTTTCCATAATAAATAAAAGCCGTATAACATAGAAAAATGTCATTTTTATTTTTTTTTTTAATTTTTTCAAATTGCTGGAACAGTTCCAATTTATCCCAGTAAGACCTCTGATTTTGCACTGATTAACCGTTTTGTCGCTCATAAACCATTGCACTATACAGTAATAGTTCTTCTTGGTCTCCATCTTGGTACCCCTCCTGATGTGTATTATATATTACACAATAAATATATATCAATACAAGTTTACTTTCTTGCGGGGATGTTTAAACGTGCGTCTTATTAACTTGACATTTATTGTACGTACGTGTTTTTGCATATTTATAATATATCTATCATATTTCATTTTATTATTATTATTATTAATTTTTTTTATTGAAACTTTTGATTACTGTGGGATGTAAAAAAGTTTTTACCAAAAAGAATGCACTTGATAATAATAATTATAATTATAATTATTATTATAATTATTTTTCTAATGATATGATAACTGTGTGTGGCTTTAAAATTCTCGATCACAAGCATTTTTTTTATTCTGGGTGTAAACTATGCACACAAGTATGAAAATGTACATGTAATATAAAGTATATATGTACCCTATAGTATATAAAAATACAAAACTTTTAAAAATAATAATTATTCAAGCAACTTTAACATTGATGTCACGTCAGGTTGCTTCTCATTATTATTTATTTGATGCCTACACTTTTCTCTCTACTTTTCGTTTTATTTTCACTACACACGTTTTATTAAACTGTCCGCGGCTCCAATACGAATTTATTTTTTACAAACAAGTGTGATTATAATAATTATTATTCTATTTTATTTTATCATTCACTTTGCGTTACAATTTAATAAAAATATTTTTTTATTTTTGTAAAGTTCAACTTTATCAAAAAAATCAAGGAAAAATTTATCTTTAAAAGAAAATAATGAACTCTAAATAAAATTTGTGTTGGTAGTTTTTTATGAAGTTTGTTTGTTCAGAAAGCGTATTGCAGTTTTTTATTTTCTTCCACATTACAGCAGTGAAGTTATTGATTTTTTTTAACGCTAGATAAAGAAGCTATAATTCAGATAAAATGTACCGATAAATATTTTCAGTGTTGGGATTTTTTTAAAATGATAACGATGAGATTTATAAATTATATTGAAAATCGATTATAAATTTTTTAGTAGAAAAAAAAAAATTAATTATTTAAAAAATTGATATAAAATTTTACTTTACCTTCTTTTCGATTAAAAGAAAATATTCCATTTAAATAATTAGAGTTGATATTATAGCCAATGAACACGATTTGAGAATTAATTCCATTAAAAATAATTTGCATAATTAAGATTTTTATCATTATGACATAAAAAAATATTCTACCTCTTTATTAACCTCTATATAACTTTTAATTTTATTTAAAAGCCAATGCAGTAATAATAAAAAGTGTTAATAAAAGTGTTAAAAAATAAAAAATTTTTTTTATTAAAAAAAAATCAAGATTAAAAAATTTATTATTTTTTTTAATAATTTTCTGTAAGTTAAAAATTTACAATAAAAATTTTTTATTTAAAAAATTCATTAAAGTACTAGAATATTTTTTTAAATATGTTAATATATCGAAAATTTCTAAGTTCCAAAAATACGAGCACAAATCAAACGAGGAAAAATGATAAAAATAAAACAATATGAACCATAAAATATGTAACGGGTCCGCCATTGACAAATGTCTCTTAAAATACTTTGAAAATATCTATATAGCGTTATTATCTTGTTAAAGTTGTTTTATCTCACTTTATTTACCATAAACTTTTATTCAGAATGTCTCAGTTCCTTTTTACACCTGTTCATCCATGAAATTGCCCCGCAAAGTTTACCGTATTGCTTGTATAATGTTATACGTATCTCACTTTTTCACCCTCTTATACTTATCTACATGTTACATATCCATACCCCATACTCTGGGCCATCCCGTGCTCGTGCCACCACATCTGCACACATACATGCCACCAAAAGTGGTTGAAACTTGTTTCATCTTATGATAATGTTCCGCTAGATATCATTCTCAAGAAACTTGCTCTCTCATTCTCTTTAATATAAATTTCTTGTTCTTATTCTTATTATTTTCCCTGTTTAACATCTGTACTTCCACTTGCACTTTAATAATCATTAATTCACAGATAATTTTCTAGACAATTATTAAATTTAATTAAAAAACTTTTTCATCAATGTTAATATCCGAAACATGCTTTGTGAATGATTATTTTTAATTTTTTTTATTAATCAAGAAAAATATTTCTGTAATCTGTTGTGTGCAAAAATTAATTTTTTCTTCTATAAAATTATTTATTTATTCATTTACATATTCATTATTTATTACAACCGGGCATTACGAATAAATTAATAAAATCATAATTACGCTAAATTAAATTAGCAGCTTCCAAAATATGTATGCGCGATTTAATTATTTTTTCGTCGCTATTATTATTATTATATATTATTATTATTTTGATCCAAGTATTCGTGACCGACTTATAACATTTGTAACTATTTACCAAAATCAATTTTATCAAAATAACTATATTGATAAAACATAAATCGAAATAAAAAGCGAATAAAGACATCAAAGAAAAAAAAAAGCTAAATAATAAATGATAAATAAAAGATTAAAGCTTTTTGCTTTTTCAATTACCCTACGGCTGAGCTTCGCGTGATTTATAGATTCCCGGTGATGTTATACATAGAAAAGTTGAATTTTGTTGTGAGCACAAGTTTATTCCCCTTAGAGAACTCTTTAAACGTTTTTTCAAGCATGTGATTATATTAAAACCTTGACAAAATCAAAATAAAATTCACTCACAGCCGATCTATTGAAATTTCATTTCTTTACAAACTTTAAATGCTATTTTTTTGCACTGTGTGTCGGTATATGTGTGTCTTTTTTGCTTGTTCCGATAATTCGTCGGAAATTTTTCGTTAATTTTATGGATATTGTTGGGATGTATTTTTTTTTATTTAAAGACGCATAATATATTGTAATATATTAATTATTAATTATTAATGAACATGGACTCACGTATTATAGATAGATGGATAGACAGACAAATGTTCGGCAGTGTTATTAATTTGCGTACTTCACTGTTTTGGTGATTGCGATTGTACGTCAATCTGATTATATTAAATCGGTAAGCTCGTCAATGTCTGTCTGTCTGTCTGTTTAATTGTCTTGTTCGTCTGTCTGTTAAAACCTTTCCAATCATGTACTATTTATTACTCCCTGTTTTGCAATTAATTTTTTTTTTTATAAATTTTTATTACTGAAATTTATTGTTGTTTTTATGTCAAAATTAATTAAATGATCAGTTAATTTTTTATTTAAAAATTAACTGTACAAAAAATTATTGTCATTATTATTATTATTATTATTATTATAACTATTTTTTTTATGGAAAATTAAAAAAGCAGCTTTAACTTGTAAATTGGAGCAAAGCAAATTATTCATTTTAATGCCAATATCAATATCAATAAATGACAAATGTTTCAATTACTGAGCATGTACTAAATTTTCAGGTGTTTTATATTTTTACCGAGCATTAAAAATTTAATTTAGCCAATGGTCCTTGGGAATTCTGTTTTCCCAACCGATGGCCCGTTAAATCAATCAAATTTTTATGGTTTTGTTTAATTTAATTAAATTATTTTATTTCACTATTTTTTGTTGAAAAAAAAAATTTTTTTTAAATTTTTATTTTATACACTGATAGAATAACTAATGAAAATTTATAAATTATTAATTAAACACAAAATACATTTCATTTAATCTGATAAATTTTTAATGTAATATTACAAAAAAAATTCCTTCTTAAAAAGCTTTAAAAAATTATAAGTGCAATTTTTTATAAATAATTTTTTAGATCTAATTTAAAAAAATAAATTGTAGTGTCTGTTAATTTCTAAATAAATTAATTTAATAAAATTTATTAAATATTATCAAATTTTTCTATCAGTACTTTTTAATTTTTTATAAAAAAATTAAAAATTCCTCTTTTTAATTTCTAATCATTTTTACAAAAATTAAATTAAATTAAAAAGCGAATAAATAAATTTAAATTCCCAAATAATAAATATAAACCCAAAAAAATTATAATACAAAATAAGCTTCAAGATGTCTTCGCTGACCATACAAATAAAAAAAAAAATAATAATAATAAAAGCATGCTCATGAATCCAAGTTAAAGCTGTCATATGCACTGTCACCAGTATCATCAGCTATTCCTTAGCAAGATATTAGACTATTACGTATTCTGTCTCACTCACTGTACACGGGCAAAGCTCTGGGTATGTCGTATGCTGGATGGAATTTATTGACCTCGATCGACTCATATATATGTATAAACCTATTCAAAAATTATTTCGTATGAACACTATACTAATATCACTAAAATCTTTCACTCTTTGTCTTTATCTATTGAACTTTAGTTTAGTACATCTACTATCTACTATCTACTCTATCTGTGCTCCTATCCTGGCCATCTATTATCCGAAAACCCGTCCACTAGCTCTGCCCACACCCATTATGTATATTGCACACTATACATGCACAAAATACATACATATAAGTTACATTGCGTTTTTTTCGATCTTGCTGTTGTTCACTGTCTCCATACATGCTCCCGTATATTACATCATATATTATATATTTTATATCATATATGATATATGATATATTGTATAAATATACGGAGAGCCTATTTCATGTATATAAAACTATATACACCTGTTACATGTGTGTATTATGAAACATTGTGATGTGAATGTCGTTATTATTCATGAATGTGTTAATATTAATTGTTGTTTATTATATTTTTATATTGTTGCTGTTGTTATTATTATTAATGTTATTAATTTAAGTTTCAATTGCTGTTTTATGTGTTTGTAGCATATCACGTTACTAATGCCATTTTTTTTGGATAAAATTTTAATGTTTGTTGTAAAAAATTGCGGGGAATTTTTAATTTAAGGGCAAATTTATTAATTGAAAAATTTTTTACACTAAAAGTTGTAATATTAGGAAGAAAATTAAGAAAAAAAAAATCTTGAATGTAGAAAAGAATTTTAGAGAAATTTTTTTAGTTTAAAAAAATTCTTTTTGGATTAAATAAAATTTATTTGAATTAAAAAAATAAATTTTATGAAGAAAATTAAGAAAAAAAAATCTTGGATTTGAAAAAGAATTATAGAGAAATTTTTTTTAATAAAATAAAATTTTATTTTGGATCAAATATAATTTATTTAAATTAAAAAAAATAATTTTAATACTGAGTTGGTTTTTTTTTTAAGGGTATTAATTTAGGTAATTTTGATAAAAAGTAACTTTTATGATTTTTAATTAATCCCATAATTAATTATCGCAAAAAATATATTATTTTTTTAATTGAATAATTTTTGCAGTAAAATTTTAAGAATTTTTAAAAAATTGAAGAACTTTAATTTGGTTTTTTTTTTATTTTTTTTTTTTTTTAAGAAAAGTAAGAGAGACTGTTATTTACCAAGAAGATATTGCAGAGTAATATTTTATTCAAGTTATTTGAGAAATATCTTGCGTATTCAGGGAATGACGCATTGCGGTGTAATTAATTTAAATTCTAAGATGACTGATTTTAATAAATTTTTGTTTACTTCCGTGCATTTTTCTTCTAAACTAAAACTGGGTTGAAATAAACTATATGTTTATTATTACTTGATAAGAAAAATTTATAAATCTGATTATTTTTTAGGGAATCAATACAGTGGTAATAAATAAGATATCCTGACATATCTCAACTTTATAAGAACAATTCATTTATAATTTATTATTATTATTATTATTATTTCTAGCAACCTTACAGTCAGCTTATATCTTAAAATATGTCAATAATTAAAAAATGACATTGTATCTTGTCAAATAATGACATTGTTAAAGATATAAGCTCACCCCGATATTACACTCATCGAGACCTTTCATTTGAGTACCCATATCAATTTTTTATATATTTTATACATATATATATATATATGATATATGTGAAATATATAAAATATATGAAAAATTGATGTGGGTACTCAAATGAAAGGTCTCGATGAGTGTAACATCGAAATGAGTTTATTTCTTAAAAAATGTCAATAATTAAGAAATGACATTGTATCTGGTCAAATAATGACATTGTCAAAGATATAAGCTCACCCCGACATTACACTCATCGAGACCTTTCACTTGAGTACCCACATGATATTTTTTATATATTTTATATGTATACATAATATATTTGAAATATATAAAATATATGAAAAATTGATGCGGATACTCAAATGAAAGGTCTTGATGAGTATATAACATCTAGGTGAGCTATATCTTTAAAAATGTCAATAGTTCACAAGATACAAGGTCATTACTTCGTATCTAAAGATAGAGCATTTTCGAATGCAATCTAAATACTTATCAATATAAATTGACTATCGGTTAAAATATGAAACCTTGAAATGGCACAAATAAAATTAAAGTCAAGATTAATTTTTTTTATTATTGTACTTAAAGTTTTTCAAATTAAAAACTAAATAATTAAAAAAATAAATAACAGTCTCCAATATAAATAAAAAATTTCTCCATCAATAAAATCTAAGAAAAAAAAAATTGAAAACCATAAAAACTAGCCATGGCATTAGTACCGTGATATCTATGTAAAGAAAGACGAGGGACAAGTGTAAATCCAATTGAACAACCAGGATTTATTCTCTTAACTTGTATCCACCGTCTGGTCTTTTTCCTTACATTGCATATGTATATATCTATCTATATCTATATGTACAATATACATACCTATATGATACATGAATATATCTACCGTATGCAACGGTACGTACAAGTATACGATGACACCGACCAATTCATTTTATCCCTCCACAAATCACCGAAACAACCTCCTTCTTTCCATCCACTCTACTGTACTCACCCACCCCTAAGCTAACTCTTCTTTTTTTTTTGCTTTCTCCTTCTTTCTCGCTCAACTAAACAATGCACTCTGTATTACATCCTGTGTGCCCTTTTTTCGTTATTAAATCTCCAAATCCGCATTAAAAAATCCCATTTTTATTTTTCTTATCCTTACATACTTGGATCCAAGTCCTTCGTATAAAATAATGACGTACACGTGCAATTCCGGACAGATATATACATGTACTGACAGTCAGCCAGCGTCGCGCTTCAACCAATACAATACAAGTGCCTTATTAAAAAAAAAAAATTACCCTTCATAAAAAATTAGTGACTTTATTTTATGCAAATTGACTATTAAAAAAATATAAATAATTAAATCTTTTTTCTTTGCCAATTAAATTAAAAAATGAATAATAAAATATTTCAATTGGGAAAAATAAAAAAGCTGGTAACTGTGTTGGACGAATTGAGATTTAAATTAAGATGTGTTTAGTTGTATGACATGAATTATTGATTGATAATTATTGGTTTATTCGACTTGATTGGATTGTGCGGAATTGCAGATGTGACTAATGGAATTGGACTGTGTTTCAGGGCTGCACTCCCCCCACGAAGGGCTCGCCGGGGGCTCAGGCCAGGCCGGAGGGATGTCCGGCCTTGCCTATTATCAACCGGAGCATCCCGTCTCAAGCGGAGTCGTCAAGTATCCTGAAAATGGTCACGACACACTCTCGGACTTTGTCACGTTCGTTTGCCAAGAGGCTGAGAACACTCAGCAACTACCCCAGGTAGCTTCCGGATTCAACATTCTTCGATTATACATTTTTTATATGCTCCAATCACTTTTAGTGTTTTATTGATAATTATCAGACAATTTTTTTTCTTAAGATTCAAATTGGAATTAATTAATAAGAATTTAAAAATAAAAAAACGATTATAAGTTTTTTATATAAAAAAAACAATTGTTTCATTAAAAAAAATTTTTTTTTAAGTAAAATTTTCGTAATCAAAATTTTCAAAATTATTTTCTTAATTTAAAAATTTATACTTAAATCAATTTTGTTTTATTGAATAAGGACTTTTATTAAATTGCACTGTACTTTCTTAAATATTGACATTTTCAAAGATATAAGCTCATTGCGATGTTACAGTCATCGAGACCTTTCATTTGAGTACCCACATCAATTTTTCATATATCTTATATATTTATATATATGAATATATAAAAAATATATCAAAAATGCTTGTGGGTACTCAAATGAAAGCTCTTGATAAGTGTATCATCGGGATAAGCTTATATCCTTAAAAATATCAATATTTAAGGAATGATATTGTATTTCGTCAACTAATGATATTTTAAAGGATATAAGCTCATCCTGATGTTACACTCATCAAGAGCTTTCATTTGAGTACCCACATACATTTTT